ATATAGATTTACATGTATAATTATTTTATTGAGAGGATACGTAATTGCAAATGAATTTGATGAAAAATGATTCAAACAAGGGTTTAATTTCACTTATTTATAAGCCGTTCTATTATCTAATCACCCGAGTTAATTAAGGTGTCTTTGAGCCCCATTTTATGGGGGAAAAAAAGTTTTGTAATAGTGATTTTTTGAAGAGCGTGTGGTTAAAGAATAAGAAAAAAAATCAATTTACATTTAAAGTTTTTTATTGGAAGAATGTATGGTTGAAAGTCCGTTTGAGGAAAAATAAGTTTGTAAAAAATAAGGCTCCAACAGCTATTTAATATAATTACTACTTTGTTAATGAAAATAATGTCTAATCTATGTGGTGCCAATTACTGTCGAGTTGAACTCGCACATTTTAACTTCTTCTTTTTTTCCACATCAGAGACTTAAAGCTTGTTTTAAAAGTATTTATAAACAATTTAAATTATAAATTGTCGTAAAAAGTGATGAATAAGTAAATAGTACTTATAGAATTACCAAATCTATGAATAAAAAATGATTCTAAGTGTTAATAAACATGAGCCAAACATAAGCTTAATTTCTCTAGTAGACGCTAAAGCTTCAAATTAGTCCTTAAAATTATTATTTTTTACTCATTTAGTAATTTAGTCATCGAATTTTATCGAAATAATGTTATAAAAATTGTCAACCCATTAGTGAAAATAACGTCCAACTTGAGTGCAGTATATTTAAATGTCAAGATATACTAACCAACATTGGTTTGTTATCGTTAATTTCAATTTGTATTTTCATTCAATCATCTATAGTTTCTTTTCAATTCGTTCGCCTTTATCAAGCAAATCAAGTATTGTCTCGAAATGCCCCCCAGGGCACTTCTCCACCGGCAAAGGACGGACGCTGTCAAACCTGAAAAAAAAAAAAAAAAAAAAAGTAATTAAAAATCATCTTATTGGACATTATGGTTATTAAGATTTTTTTAAAAAATTATTAGGCTTTTCCTTTCCGATTTTGCTAGTGGTACATCGGGGTGTACCTAATGGTGTACACTCCACTGACATGGACGAGGGACCCACTCGAATAAAATATCTTTTCTTTCACATGGGTCCCACACCCATGTGAGTGAGTTCAATACACCTCATTATGTACCACTAGATAAATTCTTTCCTTTTTCCGTTTAGAGGTTTGTTGTTGAAGTTCCCATTGTATAAACGCCCTTCGTAACTGTATCCAATTTTATTTTATACACAAAAAATTCGATGGACAAAGTTTATGTTAATAAATTGGGAAATTTTCACCTTTTACCTCCAATTTTTTGTAAACTGTAATTAATCAACGCTCAACTTTTCTCTTAGCATAATATATTCCCAACATTTTCAGTTATGTAACAATACTCATTCTTCCATCCATTTTGACCATTAAATAACAAATTTGCCCTCTTTTTTAAATAAACAAACATAAACAAAGAATAATATAATTCATAGTGAGAATTATCAATTGCCGCACATGGATGAGGCAATAAAAAAACAATATCAATGTGTCAAAGCTTTAAATTTTTAAGCGGTCAAAATTCAACAATCTCAAACTTCAGTGAGTAATCGAAAACCCTTTTCAAAGTTTAATGAGCAATAAAAAAGTTTTAAGTTTTGTAAGCAATTGAAAACATAACAATTTGTTAACGGTGTGAGCAAACGTCACATGTGTATTTTGTTAGCCACGTCACTAATTTTTGTTTAAGGTTTATATAGCATTTAATGTTTGGATAAATTTAGTAGTCAAAACTCGAAATTTTAAATTTCTATGGGCAATCGAAGACATAATTAACTCAAAATAAGCTAATATTAAAGTAATAGTTACACGTGTCACTTCATTATGGTAAAGTCAATTCCAACTTATAATAGTGGCATGATTACTTTGATTTTAAAAGGGCACATGGTTGGTACCCACCTAGGCGTATTGGTACTTGAAATCATGAGCCAGCAGCACCACTACAAATTTGGTAACGCGTAGTAGGGCTTGTTTCGTAGTGGACGATAATTTATAAGGAAGGAGTCATGATCTAAAGAAGCGAAGTTGACTTCTTTAAAGACATCTTGACTCAAGAGAAAGCCCCATTTCTTTTTTTTTTTAATTAATTTTTTCAAAATTCATTTTCAACATCGCATTCTCTAATAAAATAATAATACATGTAAGTCGAAAATCTTTCCTTACATTTTAACCACACATTTTTCAAAAATCACCATTCAAAAATGCATTATCTTTCTCAAATCAGGTTCAAACAAGGGCCGAGTTTAAGAAAATTTCAACATTGCAAATGCATAACCCTAGTTAGTTAAATTACTAAATTAAAATATATTTCAAATTCACTATAATACTAAAAATCAAGTTATATATATAAGATTGTCAATATTATCGTTAAAAAATTATAGGCATAATTACAAAAGAAGTTTGCCCTTTTTTCAACCTTTTCAATTTAGAATGACCATTACAAATTTTGTAACTTTGGATAGGATAAGATCTGAATTTGGAACTATTAGTAAAATTCAGGCTGGCCTCTAATATGCAACCCTTTCTTGATTGACCCTCGTTTGTCATTTGTATTAGAATAATGCTATTTAACATGTCAACATATCATAAGTTCTATTAAATAGATCATAAATTCTTGTAATTAATTGAACTGTTATTTAATGTTACAAATATGCCTCCTAAACTAATATTAAATATCAATGGAGGTTATTGCGTCAACTTGAAGGTTTACTCAGTGCACATTTGAAGGGTAGCGGCTGCGAATTCTCCCGTCATAAAAAAAATTATCAATGGTACTAAATAACATTAATAAGCCTCGACAAATATAAAATTGAGCTGAAGTGTTAATTGAGAAAATTTCAAACCATAAATTCTCTTGCATGAGAGGCTAAAACGTTAGATTTTGAGAACTACCTCGATGATCAAACAGTAATTGCTCACGTCAACTTTGCAATCAATAGGATTAAGGTGCATAATAAAGACAATAACGATACTTAAACAGAGATTGCAAATAGGTGCTTTGACAAGTGTTGAGTAGTCAGCACCTGAGTGGGTAATTTTTATTTTTTTTTCAAATTATCCAATGATACTTTGCCACGTATTCCCGTATTTTTTAACCTTGTCATTGGGCCTCTTTGTGTAGCATTATTGCAATAAAAATAAGAAAGAGTTATACTATCCCGTTAGTTATTATTAATAAATACACGAAAATGTTACACAAAACGATATAAATGATCTATCAAAATTTGAATTATGTTACATAAGTATGCTAAAAAAGGGTACACACGTGTCAACACATGATTGAACTATTTGAAAAATAAAAATTAAGATCAAATCAATATGTTTTTATCTGTATTTAAGTTTGGACAAACATCACTACTCGTCAAAATTTAAGTGGAGGGATGGCCAAAGGGGCAAAAACATTGGCAAGGTTGGACTTTGAGCCTATCTAATTGTATCGGTGGGGTGGCATATTCTGTGAGCTGTCAAAAGTGCTAAGCTGTCACTAGTTCTTTCACTCTCTCTAGAAGTGAATGGAGGAGAGAGAGGGAGCAAGAGGAGAAAGGAAGCGTCGGTGGAGGTTAACCGCAGATTAATTTCCAGATATATAAGTAAATTCAGAGAGACGAATTAAGGGGAGGGCCGAGAAAGAATCGCTTCGTATAGAAGCCATCAAATTTCCAAGAATTCTCTCTTCAACCACACTTTTATATATATAGAAGAATTTAGAGAGAGGGAGGGGGAGAGAGAGAGGGAGAGGAGAGGGCGAACCGACGGCCATGGGTGAATCAAGCAGCGACTCCGTTTCTGTTGATGTGGAGACCATCTATCTCGGCGGAAAGGTTCAATTTCTGCTGCAATATATGCATACTATTTGAATTGATACAATAATAATACAAGTTTCAGGGTTTACATTTTGCGTGTGATTAACGGGTCTTGGCATATTATGTTTTGCCGCATTCAATTTCAGTTTTCTTTTATTTCTTTCTATCTGGGTATGCATTATTTCCGTTTCTTGGCGTGTATTCCGTTTCATTTCCATTTCTGATTCATAATTTTCCAATTTTAGCTGGATATTAAAGTAGTTGCTGTAAAATTACATTTTTGAACTTGTTGGAATCATTTTAGATCTGCTTCGTCCTATACATCTTCAATTGGTCATTTACTGAGCAAGGCCAAACATTTCTATAATTCTATATTCGCTACTTGAGCTTCTTTTGCATTTTGATTCTCTCTTTGTAAATGTTTGCTTGTAATCGTGTCAAAATTTGTTATTGTTTGAAAAATTCTTGGGTGGTTCTGTTTCTTTGTAATTCTTGACCTTTTTTTTCTTCGAATTAGGACGGCGAATATTGTAGATACAAGATCTTGTTTGTTAGTTCATTATAAAACTGACTTCAGCTTTGACAAATGGCATTATGGGATAAGGTCTAGCATAAATGAAACTTATCTGTTCTCGGATATAAAATCGGTATTCTTGAATGGGGATTGGTTGAAAAGTAGACATCTTATATAATGACCTCTTATTCAAATGTTTAATGCAATTGGAAATAAGATTTATATTTCCCTTCACACACTTTGTGTTGTCTTTTAATTCTTCAATGTTATTAGTTAAAATTGCCACACCAAATACTTTGTTTGTTTTAAATAAACTATAAATGTAGCTCGGATGTTGATCTGTCTATTCTGTTTATTTTTCCAGTTGTTGGAAGTTGCAATCATTATTCTATTGTTATATCTGCCAGTGTAATAAAATTTGCATTAGTTACCACAATTTTCTTGATCTGGAGTTAATTTTTAAGTCTCCAATGATTGAAAACAACCTTTCTGTTTTCACTTTTTATTGTTGTTAAATAGTTAGCTGATGCAGCAGGCTGGCAGAAAAGGGGTTCTGTGCACATGGTAGCTCATTTTTAGAACAATAATNCATGGCAATCCTTATATTTGCTTGCAGTCTGATGAATTTTCATGTTTTGTGTATTTTGTATAGATATGTCTTGTTTCCAAGGACTGTTCTTTTGTCCAGAAGCTGCTTCTTTGCTGCTTCACAATTTCTGCATCTACCACATTAATCCTCCTGGCCATGAGGTCTGTAAAGTGGAAAATTTTGTTAGTGGTCATATCACAGATTTACTCCATTTCTGTAGCAGTTGTTTATAACTTTCGTGACTCTTTATTCTTGAAAAATATTGCTCATGTTGAATTTTTTCTGTGACTCTGATAAGAGTTCTTGCAGTTGGGAGCGGCTGCAATTTGTCAAGATAATCCTGTGCCTTCTGTTGATGACTTGGCTGATCAAATTCTTGATGTTCTTAACTATTTTAGGTAAGTATTGTACTGCATTCTGTATTATTTTGATATGTTTAAAGGTTTGCATCTCCATTTCTGATGGACATGCTTCTCTTTTGTTGCCTGTTATTAGAATCATCATTAGAAAGATTTTCCTAATAGGATGAATTTAACTTTGGTCAGGCTTGGTGCAGTGATGTGCATGGGTGTAACGGCTGGTGCTTACATCCTCTCCCTGTTTGCTGTACGTTTTCTTTGTAACATTTTAATTGTTATACAAGTACAATTTTATATGAATGACAGATGGTTGTCTCACAGATAAAAAATAGGGAGCGGGTTCTTGGTTTGATCCTTGTTTCCCCTCTATGCAAAGCTCCTTCTTGGACTGAATGGCTCTGCAATAAGGTTCAATACGCATGCCTTATCATTCGTATATTAAAATTGTATTTTTAGAGGGTAATCTTTAATATAATTTGAAATTTGTAGGTGATGTCAAATTTGCTCTATTTCTATGGTATGTGTGGCCTGGTGAAGGAATGTTTACTTTACCGGTACTTCAGCAAGGTATCTAGTATTTCTTTTTGGTTGCAATTTTTCCTTGTTAACTCTTTTTAGCCATGTTTCCTTTTTTCTTTTTCTTTCCCCCCTTTTTTTGGGTTTTTTTTTTTTTTTTTTTTTTGGGGGGGGGGGGGGGGGGGGGTTGGTACATGGCCGAGTACTAAATTTGCTTCCAATTGTTTCAGGGAGTTCGTGGCTGTGCTGAGGTTCCAGAATCAGACATCGTTCAAGCATGCAGAAGAGTTAGTGTTTTTTCTCTCTGAAAAAAATTGATTTGTATATACTTTATACCATGCAACATAGTTTGAAGAATATAGCTGGAGTGTAATTTTGTCAATTCATTTGTTTTCATCTTCAGCTACTTGATGAGAGGCATAGTATAAATGTCTTGCGATTTCTTCAAGCAATAGATAGGTAAAGGAGGTTGACCTTTTATAGCTTTTTGCATTGCAAGCTTTTTCCTTAAATTCACCTTTTCTTAAGATTCAACCTCTTTAAAGCTTTGTTGACCATTGAGCAGGAGACCTGACATAACTGAAGGATTGAAGACTCTAAAATGTCGAACTTTGATATTTGTTGGGGAGAACTCTCCTTACCATTCTGAGGCTCTCCACATGACTGCTAAACTCGATAGAAGATACAGTGCCTTAGTTGAGGTAGGCATCGAACATATTATGATGGGCTATTTGAATTTGATTACAACCATAATATTTTTGTTGTATCTCTATCACAATGATTTCCTTATGATCTAAGAAGCATGGAAATTCCAACGACTGATTTTTGATTTAATTCTGTCGAAAATACACATTGTAGCATATTGTACACGCCACCCCATTAGCAGTGTCCCTTCTTGATTTATGATTCTAAAAGATTTGTCCTTGTGAATGCTGAGACATGAATTGATCATAGCTGGCAACAGTTGTGATAGATGCCAACCCGGTTCACATGGTTGCTGCTACATCATTGTTAATCTAGAAGATTCAATAGTTAGTAAAGTAAAAAATGTAATAAGTCAAGTAGCCACCATTGCTTAGAAATATGAGTTGGGGGTTAGGGGATTGAATATTCACGTGTATGTGGAGCCAAGGGGGAGAGACCAGGCCTCTCGAATGGCCTGGGATTTTTTACTTTCATTCTGTTGAATTCCAATACAACATTCATTCCATTATTCAATTAACCGTGATCTATACTTCATAAATCTACATCTTCAGTTTACATAACTCATTTACAGTACAGCAGGCCTATCAAATTGTTGGATATCCTGATGAAATTATATGATGCTCATGGAAGAATGACATTATGCAGGTACAGGCATGCGGGTCGATGGTGACAGAGGAACAGCCACATGCAATGTTAATACCCGTGGAGTACTTTCTGATTGGGTATGGGCTCTACAGACCAAGCCAATTTATTGGGAGCCCGAGGAGTCCGCTTAGCCCTTCTTGCATTGCGCCAGAACTTCTCTCTCCTGAAAGTATGGGATTGAAACTAAAACCAATAAAGACTCGGCTCTCGACAAAAAGATGACAGTGGGTTAGTTAACCTGTGAATTGGAGTTACCATGGCTTGTTTTGTTGTTATTGTTTGATTTGTTGAAGGGTAAATATGGAAGTAGATAGAAAAGTGAAATTCTTTGTTGAATATAGGGTGGGAGTTTTGGAATATACATTCATTTTGTAGTCAGTCATGGATAAACATGTCATTTGTATGTTTTGTACATCTTAGAGGAGAACGTTCATGATTAATAATAAAGGGCATGTGAGCTGTTGACTCTTTCTCTCACACAAAAGCAAATGGAGCCTACAATTCCGATGCAGACAATCTGCTTTCTTTCTTCGTTTCTACTTTTGCAATTATTTATTTCTTTATTTTTATTTTTTTGTGGGATCCTCTGTTGGTTCAAATACTTGAAGAGTAAATGAATTTTGTCCAATGAAGAAGCCAATCAAGGGTAGCTTGAAAGAGTATCTGTCTGTCTTCGTGTTCCGATTGACTTCTTATCTTATTCAAAACGCTTATGGGCTATTGTAGTCTGCATTGTTATTGTTATCTTTTCTACTTGGTTAGATTACTTTAAAGGGACGCAAACGAAAGTAGGACCTTGCTACATAAGGTATTACCTTTCTACATCAAGATTTACACAAAGGATTACATAATTTCTACATGACATATTACCATTTGTTAGTTTAAAATATAGAGGGCATGTGAGCTGTTGATTCTTTCCTCTCTCGCACAAAAGCACATAGAGCCTACAATTTCAAATTTATAATGCGGACGATCTGTTTTCTTTCTTTGTTTCTAACTTTTTTATTTTGCAATAGCTAGTAATGTCTTGGTTGTAATCCTCTGTTGGTTCAAATACTTGAAGAGTAAATGAATTTGTTCAATGAAGAAGCCTACCAAGGTTAGCTTGAAAGAGTATATGTCAGTCATCTTGTTCTGATTGACTTCTTATCTTATTCAAAACACTTATGGGCTATTGCAGTTAGCATTGTTGTTGTTTTCTTTTCTTCTTGGCTAGATTACTTTTACGGAACGCAAAAGAAAGGAGGATCTTGCTGCATGTACATCAAAGTTTACAAAATGTCCACATAGCACATTAACATTTATCAGTTTAAAATATAGTCAATTTTTGCATCAAATATTTTTCCTCCACATCATTTTGAATCGCATCTTATGTACCATTTTGATGTACAAGTAGCAAAATTCAAGAAGAGCAGGCTTCCAAGTAAAAACGGAAAGAAATTCTGTACAGTAACAATATAGGGAAAATTTCATTGGAGGTCACTCAACTTACATATTTGTTTCATGTTGGTTACTTAACTTTGTTTTGATAATCAATTTTGACCAATTCAAAAAATCTTTAATCATGGATGATGCGCGTGTATCCTATCCTGCCGATTACTGTTCCTCCTTGATTGCTGGTTCCCCAACTTTGAATTGATTGTTGGAAAGTGACGGGTAAAAAGTTGATAACTTAGCCATTAACGTTTTTAGTATAATAATTAAATGTCAAAGTCCCCAATTAAGCATTTTCTAGTTAAAGTTTCCAAATAGTTTGATACAAAGTTTCTAAGAAATATCTGTAAAGTTACCAAATTTCGATATAAAATAAGAAACTTTTGAGTTCATAAAATTTTTTCAAGAGGTACAGAACTTGTCCAAAGCGAAAACCCTAACGGGTATAGAGGATCCTTGGTAAAAAAAAAAATAAAAAAAAAAAAATTAACAATTAATCCTTTGTGCACCATTAAATATTAACATGCCACCACCATGAAGTCAGCAAAACTCATTTTTACAGAAGTGTGGATTCACTGTACGATTAAAAATCGAAAATAAAACCCCTGGGGCATAGCCCAGTGGTGCAAAGGATAGGAGTGAGGTTATTTCGTGTCTTACTGAGTGTGAGGGTTCAATTCCTGAGACATGAAATTGGACACCTTATAGGCTCAATGTACAAACAATTCTTGCTCCCTGGCCTGTTGGGGCAAAACTCCCGATTTACCTCCCTCACAAAGCTCTAGGGGAGGGGAGGGGTGGGGTGGTGAGAACCCTCAAAATTGGAGTTCAACATTTAAAAAGCGGAAATAAAGCCGCACTATGTTTTCTCATCTAGACGAATTTAATCCCCAACTCGTCTCTACAATTTTGCTGACTTGATGTAACAAATAGTACTGTTTATGGGGTGAGCATTTTTTTGGGAATTGGATAGAACCGATCGTTTGGCTTCGGTTCTTCTAAAGAACAATTTGGTTTAGAAAATTTCACCGTTCTCTCATGTTTTCTCACGGTTCTCCGCATCTTTATCAGAATCAGTAATTTTGTATACGTGGTCAGTTTTCTAATTGATTTTTGCGAATGAAATAGTTTTTCTCCGGTGACAAAATCTTTCCAAAAAAACCACCATATTATCATACTGCAGAGGTGCCTGATATGTGATTTTCTCCTCCACGTGTGGAAGATAAAAGGGTGCAGACCTCACGGTGTCACCAGTTCATCATCATGCTGCCATTGGTTTGATTCATCCATCTTGTGGCATATCAATCAGATTTCCTAGCCCCCCCAGGGCACATTCGAGTTGGTGGATCAATCACCTTTGGCGCGCTCGCAACCTCAGTATGGAGAGTTCGATTCCTGGTGGAAACCTGTGATCCAATAAAGGGGCAATTTATTGATGGATCAATCACTATGAAGGAAAGCTCTCTTGAGGTCAGGAGTTTAGATCCGGTGGGAACCTGTGATCCAACAAGGGTACAACCTACGGTTTACCTCCGCTAGTCACTGAGGGGCCGGTGGCTAGGAGTCCAGGATTTAGTCTGGCGAAGTTGGGACACCTGGGTATCAAAAAAAAAAAATCAGATTTCCTAGATTTATTCGCTCCGTATCCCGAGGAATGTACCACATCTGCAAATGTAGTAGACATGTTCCATTCTAGACTAAAAAAATGAGCTTCTTTTTAACCATACAATCTCTAATAAAATATATAAATAAAAAAAATTTCCTTCCTTTTCGATTACACATTCTCTTAAAAAATACTATTCCAAAAATTATAATATCAAATAACGGGGGCCAAACGGAGGCGAAATAACATCGAACTCTTTTGGCCAAAGGAGTTTGATTAAGAGTCTGTAATCTGTGTACTATTCTTAAGTCAAAATTGAATTGAATACAAATCGTGTGAGCTGTTGATTCTTTCCTCTCTCACACAAAAGCACATGGAGCCTACAATTTCAAATTTTCAATGCAGATGATCTGTTTTTTTCTTTTTTTGTTTTGCAATAGCTAGTAATGTCTTGGTTGTAATCCTCTGTTGGTTCAAATACTTGAAGAGTAAATGAATTTGTTTAATGAAGAAGCTTACCAAGGTTAGCTTGAAAGAGTACATGTCAATCGTTCTGTTTCGATTTGACTTCTTATCTTACTTGAAAAGCTTATGGGCTATTGCTGTTAGCAGTGTTATTGTTTTCTTTTCGATTTGGCTAGATTACTTTTATGGAACGCCAAAGAAATGAAGATTTTGTTACATGTACATCAAAGTTTATATAACGTTCACACAACGCACTATCCTTTGCCAATTTAAAATATAATCCAACTTTTGCATCAAATTTTTTCCCTCCACATCATTTTGGGTAACATCTTATGTACCGTTTTGATGTACAAGTAGCAAAATTCAAGAAGGGCAGGCTTCCAAGTAAAAACGGAAAGGAATTCTTTGCAGCAACCAATATAGGGAAAATTTCATTGGTGGTCACTCAACTTACATATTTGTTTCATGTTGGTTACTTAACTTTGTTTTGATAGTCAATTTTGACCAATTCAAAAAAATATTTAATCATGGATCAAAATGACAAATTGTATGACATGACGCGTGTGTATCCTATCCTCCCGATCACTGTTCCTTCTTGATTGCCAGTTCCCCAACTTTGAATTGACAGTTGGACAGTGATGGCTAAAAGATTGATAACTTAGCCGTTAGCTCTTTTACTATAATAATAATAATTAAGGGGGTGTTTGATGTGAATAATAAGTCAATTAAATTTTTTTTTTATCGTTATTTCACTATTCTAACCGTTATTTTTGAATTCTTCTCTTACAAGTAGACCCACTTTTTGACTTTTATTTCTAATGGTCAAAAAATTAATTCTCAAAATCCTTACCACACACGTCAAAGTCCGTAATTAAGCATTTTCTAGTTAAAGTTTCCAAATAGTTTGATACAAAGTTTCTAAGAAATATCTGTAAAGTTACCAAATTTCGATATAAAATAAGAAACTTTTAAGTTCATAAATTTTTTTTCAATAGGTGAACATGTCCATAGCAAAAACCCTAGAACAGGTTGTAGAGAATCAGGAAACAAATAGAATTGGATTAATTACGTTAATGATTTTTTGAGTAATTATGTCAATGATCATTAATATCATACGATATTAGTTATTCAAGTTTCAAACTATTTCACTTAGTAAAAAAAAAAAAAAAATTAACGTTAAAATCGAAATTGATTAGTTCGATTATATAGTTAGGTATGAAATTAATAGTTCCATTTTTAAAATCATATCGTACTCGGTCTGGTTCCTTTTAAAATCAGACAAAAGTATTTATTATTAATTTTTGACGAGTAATGCTATTTATACAAGTGAGGATGATCCATATGTGATGTAATATTAAATGATATGATGAATTATGTGAATTTTATATTCACAAATCTAATTGATTTCATCATGACTCCGCACGTCATTTATTACATAACATGTGGACTTTGCTCTTGTCTGAACCCCATTTTATCAAAAAATTATTTTTATCAAAATTTATTTTCATCTACAAATTTTCCAATAAAATAATTTGACACATAAATTGAGATTTTTTCTTTTTTAATCCCATATTTTTCAAAAATACACTATTTCAAAATATTTTTTTTCCCATGATGGGGCTAAAACAAGGGAGATTCCCTTTTTCTTTTTCTTATAGAGTGAGAATTATGTAACCTTTTAAAAACTTCCATAAAATTAATCCGACATAAAATTAAGTGCTTGTTTGGTAAAAATTTTGAAAATTAATTTTTTGATCATTAAAAATAAAATGAATAATCCAAAAAATGACAACTGAAAATCGCCACCAAACAATCACTAAAACTTGTACAACTCCTCGACTTGTTGGCTTTGCTTCTCCTTCTGCACGTTTGGAATTTAAGAACAGTGACGTCTAACCTATCCTCAGCTCTGAGAACATGAAAATTGAATATAAAGCATAACAGAACTAATTCAAAGCCATAATTTCCAACCCAGAATCCCGAAAGAGTTTATGGGCTCCGTCTTTTTTCCAATCTCCCTGTGCACG